GCCAAAAGAAACATGGGACACTCGGCAACGTGGCCAGAGTGTCCCAGTTACCTCTCTCAGGTAACTGGGACACTGTGGCTACGAATCAAAACTAACTACCATTAAAGGACTACAACACAAGTTTCTCTGAGAATAAACATCGCTGATTCTATACAAATTTTACAGATTAACACAATCCATTCGTACTCAGCAATTGAACAATTAAAAATAACAATACACAAAATTCAACCAAATATAATAGCATTACAAGAGCCTTACTACTATAAAAACAAAATATTGTGATTTAATTTAACAGACATTGTGAACGATGGTATGTCTATAAAAATGATTAAGGACAACATTAATATTCTTAGCAAGCCTCTGGAAAAATATTCAACCAGGTGTTTTATACTGGGACTTTCCCTGACCTCCTGGAAATAGCAAGAGTCATACCAATATACAAGGATGGGTATGTAAATCAACTATCTAATTATCGACCAATTTCAGTATTGAACACTATCAATACCATTTTTGAAAAGCTAATAGCAGCTAGAATGGTTGATTTCTTGACTCGAAATAAAATTATAATAGAACAACAGCACGGATTTCAAAAAGATAGATCTACTAGTACTGAGGTCTTAAATGTAAGTCCATTTATTAACACAGCTTTAAATAAGAATAAAATAGTAGTTGGCTTTTTTTACATATAAAAAGGCCTTTGATACCGTTAATCACGAAAAAATAATTACTAAGTTAGAAAGATATGGCTTTAGCGGCTTTTCTTTGGACTTTTTCAAGGGTTATTTGTCGTCGCGCTCGCAACAAGTCAACATCGGAGATCAATACTCTACCAATGAGATGGTGCTCACAGCAGTACCACAAGGATCTGTGCTGAGGACGATTCTGTTATCTCTTGATATAAATGACTTGCCTAAAGCAGTTGGAAAATTAAACGTAACAATGTATGCGGACGATACAGTATTGCTGGCATCTGGTAACTCCTGGGCTGAACTGGAGGGGGAGATTAATCAAAACCTTAAACAGATGGAGAGTTGGATTTTGAATAATAAGTTAACTTTAAACTACCAAAAAACAAATTATATAGTGTTTGCTTCCCCACATAAGGTCACTCCAACAGAGGCGCAAAATATACAAATAGGTAATAAGTCCATTCAAAAGGTAGAACATATTAAATATTTAGGAGTGATTCTTGACTCTTGTTTCAACTGGAAACCGCACATCGAAACATTATGTAAAAAACTGGGCTATTCGGTTTACACGTTACTTAAAGCCAGTCAATACTTTAATTCGAAAACTTTAAGATTGATTTGTTACAGTATTTTCCATAGTCACTTACAATATTGTGTAGTATCGTGGTGTTTTATATACCTAAGGTATCTAAAACCGATAGTAGCGCTGCAAAAGCGGGCATTGAGAATACTAGAATATGCAAGTTACGACGCCCATTCAGCTCCCTTTTTTTCAAAAACAACAAATAACGCCATTTCATGTGTTAAGAGACTATAGAACTGTAATTCTGCTGCATAATATTGTAATAAATAATATACCACTCCCATCACGTATATTTGTACAATCAGGTAGAGTCACGAGGAATGTTCTCATAAATAACTTCAATACTCCGCCCTATAGCAATACTTATGGTCAACGTCTAATACAGTATGTAGGTTCAAAAATTTGAAACTCATTAAGCACAAACATAAAAGAGAGTAAAACATTCGCACTGGCCGTGAAAATGCATTATTTCGAAATGTTGTAGAACATGCATTCTATTTGTGACGCACAAGAACGAGTGCCATGACCGAACCGCTTGCCTTATATTGGTACATTTGTATGGATCCAGAACTAGCCTTGCTGGCTAAGGATCCAGATACGATATGCAGTGATTTTGATGTATGCAAAATATGAATAAAGATTATTATTATTATTATTATTATTACTTCCAGCCCTGTTTCCATTCTTTTCTCCGTTCTTTAAAGTTAATCCCGCCGTTTACTTGGTTGAATTTCTTCAGTCTTCGAATGACGTGCTGAAATGTTTCTTTTTCTCCTACAGTCTCGCTATAACCGCGCGCCCGTTCTAGGAATATTCCGTGCTTCGTGGTTTGAACATTCTTTCTTGACCCCCTTCGTAAAAAATTAAAAAATTATTGGTTGTAACGAGCTTAGTTGAATATCTGCAGCCTTCGAATAACGTGCTGAAATGTTTTTTTTTCGCCTTTTACGCTATTTTTATATCCCCGCGCCCGCACTAGGAATATCCCGTGCTTCGTGGTTTCAACATTCTTTATTGACTCTCTTCGCCGAAATCAAATGTATTGGTTGTTAAGAGTTACTCCCGCCGTTTACCCGCGCTTGGTTGAATTTCTTCAGTCTTTGAATAACAGTGCTGCGCAGGGCAGGCCTCAAAGCCTGGACGGCCGCGCCATCCGCTGAGTAGTAGGAAACAAAAAAAGAAGGAGTACGAATTGCTTCAGCAGAAGTTCAGAATGATACAGTCGGAAGCTGCTGGGTATGTCCTCCCTGGTCCAAATGCCCACAGAGCACCCACAGAGAATTTGTGCGGGGTCCTACATAGCTCTATGGGACACCTGTGGGTCTCTGTAGGTCTCCCAACATCCTTGTGGGGATGGGGCTGTGGGTCTATGGGACATGTGGGAAACTCTGTGGGTTGCTTTCTGTAACCCACACAGCCTGTGGGGATAGGGCTGTGGGTCTACGAGACATGTGGGGATAGGGCTGTGGGTCTACGAGACATGTGGGAGGCTGTGCGGGTTGCTTTTTGTCACCCACATATCCTGCGGGTATAGTACTAGTTTCTATGGGACATTGTGTGGATGGCTTTAGGTAATCCACGCCATGTAATCAGGACCATGGGTTTTAAAGACATGTGGGACACCGTGTGAGAGACTGTAGGTATCCTACACATACTCAGTGAGCACTCTAAGAAGTCTGCGGGAAACCTTCAGGGACCCCATGTGCTAGTCATGTTGCTGAAAATGCGGAAAAGTACATAGCCCTAGGCTGCTTGCATTTTAGTATGTGACAGTAAGCTAAAACAGCTGCTTTCTTACGTTAACGCATGCCCACCAGCATATATGCTTTTGAGAAGAAACTATATACATTACAGAATCTTTCGCTCATGCATCACAGCTCATTCTGTTTTTCTTTAGCCAACATTACTCTGAAGTTGCCAGTCTTGTGTTCTGGATTGTTCTGGCCTTATCAGACATATGTTCTGCATTAATATGAGTGCACACAGGTTGTCATTAGTAACAGCAGGTATAAGTAGGCAGTTCTGAGGAAAACATGCACAATGAGGGCTTGATTGGACTCAGTATGTTTACTTTATATGCAGATCCAATGGCCATAGAATGAGAAAAAAAAACTAGTACAATAACAGCTGTGCATGACAAAACAATCATTTCACAGCAGAATGGCAACTGAATCTAACATAAAGGCAGTTTCTCAAACCACAGAATATGACCTTCAACTGCAAAGCAAATAGAAGGACAAATAGTTTTCTTTGAATGAGATGCATATATCTATATTACGAATATTATCAGATACTATACTTCAAATTTGCACTGTAATGACTCTAAGTGTCAGTCAAGCCGGTGTGTTCACAATATTCATAAAATACTACTAGAATTCACGTTTCAGAGAAGTGTTGCATAAAATTTGAGTGACGGGGAGTATAAGAAAACATTGAAAGCATGCACACAAGTACGCATCAAAGTATGACATTCAAATGGGGAATGGGTGGCCAAGTGTGTTGCCACACTGCAGCTTGGAGAATGAGAAGGGAAAGCATGCACTGCAGAAGCCAGGGATACTGGGCTCAAAATCCTCTCCCAATATTAAAAGCATAAATAGATTATACAGCAGAATTTTTTATCATAATGAGCTGAGTCCACAAACCGTAACTAAGTCAATTTTTGCTAAAATTCGGAGTACATGTGGGTGTGCATCGTTCCCAAAAATATAAGCAAGCTGAAATGAGTCGTAACATGCAAGGAAAACCAGGGTACAGGTGGCCGCATTATATGACTAGTTAAAAGCTAATTTTATAAGCAAACATTCTCACCATATCTCAGTTTCGCTTCACATAGATTTAGCTCTTAGAAAAAAGAAGAAAACTCCTCAAATATGCATGGAACAGGGTGTCTACCAACCTGGAAAACCTGGAATTTTCAGAAGATTTCGAATCATCTGGAAAAGTCAGGGAGTTATCAGGAAAACCGTCTGAAAGGTGGTTAAATCAGGGAAAATGACCAGTGAAATTGGCTTGGCGGAGCGGAATGAAGTGCAACGGTTGCACATTGGCACACCTATGCTAAATAATGTTGCTGAAATGCCATCCTTCGACCCACAAACTGTCAGAAAAAAACCTGAAACAGTCAGGGAATTTAAAATCAGTAATTTGATAAACACCTTGATGGAAGCGCAACGGCATTAGGAGGAATTGGTGACCAAGTCTGTTAACGCACCACAGCTCTGGACATGAGGAGGGAAAGCTTGCACTGCAGAAGCAAGGATTCTGGGCTACGCCCACCTACCTTTGAAAGTATAAATATAAATGGAAGCTCAATGGCATTCAAAGAGAAGGATCTGTGGTCAAGTGTGTTAATCCATCAAAGCTCGGAGGACCTGGAGCAAACGTTAACAGTACACAGTCCCCGATTTCAGGTATGAGATGCAACTGAAACACTAAAACTGGGAATTGGTAGAAAATTTACGACATCTTGAAAAGTCGGAGAATAATCGGGAAAACCACCAAGCAGCTAGTTGAAGTCGGGAAAAACAACCAGTGTAAGTGGCATGGTGGCATGCAACGAAGCACCACGGTGCATCGGCATACCTGCACTCAACATATTGTAAAATACCAAGCAAGCGCCCACTCAAACTTTGGAGATAATTACAAAAAAATGGGGGATGGGCCCTTCTCCGCTCATCAGTTTTACATATAAATGTACCCTGTGTAATTTCTCAGATCCTGCAAATTTGGGAATGGGCGCTTAGTGTGGTGTGGGCGGATGCACGGTATTCTACCGTAGTCAGCGAAAACTTGGAAAAGTCAGAAAATTTGAAAGAAGCAATTAGGAAGACACCCTGAACAAGCAGACAAATTAAAAATAAAACTGGTGACCTATTAAGACTGCAGCCCAGCCTGCATCAGTTAATTTCCAGAAGATTGGGAACCTTACAAACAAACGTAGAGTTCTCGACATCCACTCGCACTGCCTTCCTCAAAAGTGCCGAAACAGCGACCATTTTGAGGGAAGAAAACTCCCAACTGCAATGTGCGGAGCCCCACAAAATGCTGCATCCTCAACTTCGAGTACCTCCACAATTAAACCGACTTCCTGTGCACTGTTAAGCCTGTAAGAAAAAATTTAACGAATAATGCCGAACTTTTAGCCTTGAAGAACTACAACAGTGTCATTGATTTTTTGAGGACGTGAGTATTGAGCTGAATGGTACACGACTCCTCCAGCGATGAATCTTAAGAAGACTGAAAGACATGAAGGAACTGTACCAAGGGCAGTGATAATGCATCGTTTTTCGGCGTTACTGAACTTGGACGGCTGTGCTTGGCCCAAAAGGGTTACGCTAGAGATTGTGTCCCCCGAATGGCACCTTTTCTCATCCTTGAAAAATGCAAGGGATCTCTTCATTACATCCGTTCCTTTAGTTAAGACATAAAAATTTACAGACTGCTTAAGTATAGCTTTGTGTAACACCTGCATTGCAACTCCACGGTTGCCCTTGATAGATTTAACCAAAACGCCATAGTACGACTCAAAGCAGAAGGCGGAATGGGTCCACAAAGGCCCCCAACGAAAAACATCCTTTGCCAGGTGCTGGAGTATGTGAACGTTGAAAACCATGTTGATGTCCCCATATAGCATATTGTATTTGATCACAAATTCCGTTAACAAAATTTGGGCCATGTTGATGTCGTCCCCTGTAAGTGTGTCCTGAATTACGCAAAAAATGGAGTGTACAAGAAGAGCGAGGTGCCCAAGGAAGGATTCTGGCAAAATGCCATAGAGGACCGGCAACGAATAATACAGAAGCCACGACCGGTACTCTTGTGCCTTCCAAAGCTTTCGTTCACTGATCCCCCGAGGAAACCTGCCGAGCTTAGAAGGAGGCTTAATGGCCTTTATTCTGCGATCTACTAGCCTCACAGTGGCCGGATCTCCAAGATAAAACCCGCCTCCGGTGTTGCTGTCGAACCACAAGCTCAAAAGTGTCCGAGACACGCCGAGGAGGACGGCATGCATGTAGTCTGGAACAAAGGATTCAATAACGTTAAAAGATGGCAAGTTAAGCAATGCAGACGGACCCTTAAACCCTCTGCAAATAACACCCTGTGATGCAGCTTCACGCATGTCACGGATTGCACTTTTCGATTTTCTGTCATCAACTACCTCTGCAGAGACCGTATAGCGAATTGACCTGTTAATGAGAGATCCAGGGTGCAGGCACCAACCACAACCAAAATAAGAATTGAATTGCATCATATTTTGCAACAAAGGACGGGCCACCGAATCCACACTGCAGCATACTGCAAAAGCCTTACTTAGCACCTCAGTGCCGTTGCGCTTCCATACAAACCTCTGATCACACAGAAGCTTGCACTGTTGCACGAAGCTTTTCATGTACAGCTCCATCGGAGGGTGATTCTTTCCGAACCACACACTAGAAAGGATGACGTTCCTAAACCTCTCAAAGACCGGGAGTTCATTTATAATAAGTTGAAGTTGCCAGATAGAGCAATTTTTACTTTTAAAAACTGGGCACCCATCAGTGTTGAAGGTAAAAGAAATGTTATTGGGGTTTCCGAGAACTGAGAACTTTTTACATAAGTCCTTGTACATATGTCCATCACATATGTCAGAAAATGTGTTTGGTCGATTAAACCTTGTAGTTAAAAAGCTGTGATCAGAAAAACTCTCTAGAACACTTCTCAGCTGAGACGCTAATGAGGCTGTCAAAAAAAACCAGATCCATCAGATTTCCTTACGTCAAACAACTTTTTACAAATCCGGCACTTCTGTATGTCCTTCTGAACAGTGGAGGTCAATTGAACAGAGCAAGATAAACAATAATAAACAAGATCGAAATTCTTACAGAAGTTTAGAGACTTCTCAAACATATAGAGGGAGCTAGGCACAACCGGCCTTCCAAACAAGGTGTTTACCAGAAACAAGGCGTCCTTCATCCCAGTCATTGAAAGCGCGCTGCGGATTACAAAAAAAATATTCAAAATAAGGGCTTCCGCTTTAGTCACCCCCCCCCCCCCCCCCACTACAAACACGTTCATCGTTGGATGACACACTTCCTTCCATTCCACAGACGGGCTCCTCATCGGAGGCGTCATAGAATGTGTCGTCTTCACTAGAGTCTTCTGAATCGAAGTCGTCTTCCGAAGATTCAGACAAGGAGGAATCCTGTGCAACAAAAATGGCATCAATTTACAAAGCCAAATATAGCACAATTTCACAAAATCAACAAACAGTCCTTGCTTTACAAGACACTGCTATACCAGAAATGTGAAATCAAACAGAGCAATAGACGATTAGCGAAATTCCCAAGCACCGAGGAGCGTGCAGCGAATGTAGCCACACACACTCCAGAAATCTTTGCAGGTGCCTTTTAAGGAGGGAGAAGCAGGTTCAATAGTTCAGTTTGCTGGTTTCTCTAAAAAAAATCTGGAAATGAAGATGCATTTTGAACCACTTTCTTTTGAAAATGCTCCAAATTTTTACTAATTAATACCTCATTACCTGATTAGGTCAGAAACACCACTACAGCAAGTTTAACTGCTTTCTGTTTATACACGCACTGTTTTTCTTGGTTTCAACGTCAACATAAACTATACTCTGTTTCAACTTATGATGTACCGCAGGAAAGGCCACAAGCGCGAGCTCCTTGCTCTAGGGCACACCTCGGCAGCACAAGCTCTCGTGCATTAAAAGCGGCTGACAACGCTATGAGCTCGCGCTTCTAGCCTTCGCTGCGGTACAGCATAAGGTGAAACGGAGTATAGCCAAGAATAAGAAATGTTACAAAAAGTCTTTTTGTTCGGGTTTTAACTTTTCAACTACACTCACCGTTGGGTTGTCCGCAGGGTCATCTGGCTGGGTACTGGTGTACTCAGTTTCCTGAGACTGAAAACAAAAACTTCCAATGTGAGCAGGGTGCACATATAACCTCCATGTACATCATATAAATCTCTACTGAAGACTTTCTTGGATAACAACATAAATTCAGAGCACGAAACTTTCTAGGATGAATTTAAGGCTGACAAAGATATCCGAATTTCAGTATTAATGCATGTCTGCCCATGTGTTAGACACCATGTCTAACATATCGGGGAATATATTGTGTGCCAATAACTGAGCAAGTGAAAATATTAAAGGGGCACTAAGAGGTTATTGAGAGTGCCTATTCATAGTGACAACTCATTCTATTTGATCTAAGCATCCTAAACATCTAAAGATCACAACCATGCCGAGCCTATTTTCCTATTAAGAATGCGATCACAGTTTGCAAAATGCCCTTTTTCTGTTAATTTTTGCTGAAGACAAGTGGGTGGTGCCAGTGCATTGGAACAAAGCTGAATGACAAAGGTGCTAGTCAGCCAATCATGAGTGATGGTTCCCTCGCAGATTGACCCAAACAGGAAGTCAACACGCAGGCATATTACAGCGTTAATGTTCCACAGATGAAAGAAATTCCAGACGGGACCCATGGGCACGAGAAAGAAAATGTCTTCCCCAAGTGTTGCATGCGAATTTTCCGGGAAGCAGACGAGCAGACACATTGCTCCCGCACAAAAAGGCAAGGGAAAACTTAGTTTGCAGCAGTGTCTAAATAGCGAACACATCTTAACTTGCACCCCCTACTACATTATACAACAACAAAAACATGCATCTTCAAAAAAAGTCTTTAGTGCCCTTTTAATCACTTCATGAGTTAATTATAAAAAGTTGCTTTCAGCCTTCAAAAAAATTACGTGATATGAGAAGGCTATTGTGGACTGCTTGTGCCCCTACTACTGCAGGCAGCCAGCATAGGCAGGGCTATGCACTAATGCACAGCACTCTATGTTTACTGACAGAGCAAGAGAGCCATGTCTGCCTGGGAGGGGGTGTAAACAAGGATGACCACTTTTCTGTTTTAAGCATTGCGATGCATGGTGGGAATTCCTTACTTGGAGCGTTTGAGGCGCTTCGAGTTTTATTCCTTAGTGGTGTTTGTGCTGATATATCCCACATGTGTGCATCTGACTATAACTGAGCTTGCTACCAAAGCCTGAATGACATTAATATAGCAACAAGCTGTGTTTATGGCATAGCCTTCGAGAATCCTTACATCGTGGACAACGAAACCCAACACTGATGCTGATCGCTTAAGTCGTCATTTACTTCGGAGATTTCGCCACACCAGTTCATGGCCTACTCAGTTCAGGCACACAAGTATCTTGAGGCCTACTATCGGGTGTTAGGCAGAAAAAACGTGTATCCCTCTACGAAAGTTTATCTCACTATTTATGCAGTTTGTTGCGGCATGCCAAAACACTATGTCGCACGTGCAAAGCGTGCACTGCTTTTCCCATAACTCCTGGATCTTGTGCGATTGCAACTCAATGGCGTCAAGCCCCCGTGTTAGTGTATAGTGTTTTTGGAAACACAGGCTGAATCGCCCCAGCGAAAACTATGCGTTTCACAGAAAAAAGGTTGATGCCGTGATAATGTGTGCCCAAGGGCCTATTTAGGAAAAACATTTAACATCAAGGAAAATTTGTTTCTTCATTCCTTTTTTTAAATTAACTTTTTATCTCTTCACTTTAAGACTATTCGCACACCGAAATGAGTCGTCGCTATCTAGTGGTCGATACACAATGCATTGAGGCAAGGAGCCCGCAGCGATCGGAATGAGCAGCGAAAGCTGGCGCGGCCTAGGGAATGATACTTGAAACAGAGGAGCAGGTATAAAAAAGTATCTGTTAGGAGTCGCGAATAGTTTTCGTTTGAAACTTCCTGGGCATCATCGAAAACCTTTTATCAACTCTTTTTCAGACGAATATAAAGCACGCACAGCATTTGACCACGTTTTGAAAAATTTTTTGATTTGGATGCATTTCCTGGCTTCATTTTCTTATTCAAACCCATCTTGGCGGCAGTTGTCCTGGCCTTCCGCACTCAAAGCGCGGAACTAGGTCAGACGCCTGTCTCACCCTTGCCTGGCTCCACTCTCTTGTAGGAAAAAAGGAAGCGCAGTGTGCGCGGCACCCAGAAGTCAAGGCTCAATCTCGCAATGTCATGTTCATTCTAACAGCAAGGCGCTCCTTTTCGCCGGGCCGCACGCGCACTCGACTACGATTTTTTTTTTTTTCATAGGAGACATGAGCGAAGCGTCTGGACCGTGGTCTGGACCTAGATCCGCGCTTTGGCCGCGAAGAGGGCAGGACGGCTGCCGTCAAGATGCACTTAAGCTAAGGAAACGAAACCAAAGAATGCGTCAAACTTGAAGAGTTTTTTTAAACACGGTCAAATGCTGAGCATGCTTTATACCCATCTGAAAAAGGTTGATATAGGGGCGTTTGATGATGCTCAGCAAGTTTGAAATTTAAACTATAACCTCAAAGTGAACAAATAAAAAGTTAATTTATGAAAAAGAAGAAAAGCTTAATTTTCTTAAATGGTAATATTTCTCTAAAACAGGCCTTTTTGCGCACATAATCATGGCATCAAGCTTTTTTCTGTGTGATGCGTAGATTTAGTAGGAGTGATTTGGCGTGCATTTCCACAAACACCCTGTATAACCACCACCATGAATTCTGCGGGGACGCATGGAATCACTAGAGCATAGTTACGCAGGTGGCCGCACTTGCCCTCACTGCAAATGCGCCAAGAGTTGATGACCAAGATGCCGAGCATAAACAAAATGTGGATGCAAGGAGAACCAATTCTTGTTACGTGATGCCAAAGCCACTTTTGCTGCCTTTATTTGCAGGGTCAGTGGGGTCCGACTCATCTGGGGCTCTCAGTATTACCAAGATACCACTTTTATCAACAGTGCCCAAAGGTGCACTTTTAAGTGAGCCAATTCTGAAAAATACGTACTCGCAGTGGGGCTTGGCTAAAGGTCCCAGGTTCCTGGGAAGCAGATGAGGGTTCCTGGAATAAAAAAAAGTGATTGCTTCACTAAGGGCCGGTTGCACCAACGTCGCTTAGCGCAAAGCGGAGCTTAGCCGGGAATTTAAGCTTAGTTTCGGTTTCGTTCGGTTGCACCAAACTCGCTTATCGCTAAACCTAGCACTAAACTACGCTTAACTTAAGCGCTCAACATTGGGCGCTTTGCTTCTGGTTGTTTCTTAATCCTGGATTAAAAACATGGCGGCTGGTTTGTCACGGTCGACGCGGTGGACGAAATTGGTTGTGCAAAGTGTTTTAGGCTACATCATCGTGAAAGTCTCGACAAAATGACTTTCGATTGTGACAAGGATGCAAAATATTGTCGCGTGAAGTGTTTATCGACCCCTGTTTTCAAGTTGGCTCTCCACTTTCAGGGCGTGTTAGCCCTAACCGAGAAACGTACGGAGCTGTGGGGCTCACGTCTGTATTCCCGTTGGTTCTTCTGTCAACGAGCTTATTCGTATGTACTTACTAATTTTCGCATAGCTGTAACGTATTGTTATTTACCACCTTGTTTATCTACACTTGTAGCGCGTATCCTTCAATCTGATCAGCGCGTTGAATAGTGGCAGTACATGATCTCGGCGATCAGCTGATTGTCGACACCTCTGCCGTTTGCATTAGATTGCGGCGCTTTTAAGTAATAAAACAACGAAAATTCAATTTCTTTCGTTTTCTGAGTTTTGAGACAATCTTCAGTGAATTTTCCTTATCTCGCGAGTAGAATCTTGGCTTCAGAAAACTGTATCGTTCCATAACTAACTTTTTTGGTTATCGCATTTTTTTTTTTATACTTTGCTTTATATCTTTCATTCGTTTCCCGAGAACGAGATACTGTTGTTTCCGAGTTGTGCTCTGTGATGGTGTTTTCCCTTTACTTTTGTCGTTTGTTGTCATTGTGACGATGGTTGAGACTATATACCGGAACACGTTTTCAATAAAATTCAGTTGAAAGTTGCGCCTTGTTGTGTCCTCCGTAACTTTTTTGGTGATCGCGATTTTTTAGGAATATTTTGCTTTATATCTTTCATTCGTGGGGACGACAAATCGTAACGACTACTATGTTAGATTCGTTGATTGCTGTATCGGGGCAGGCTGGGGCAGGTGATGCGAAGAGACGACCGTTCTTATCGTCACGATGTAATGTATTAGTGGGAGTTTTTTTTTTTTTTTTTTTTTCTGAACTCGACAGTGTGAAACTGAAGTCCGTTTGAGGCTGCAACGGATGTTCAACGACGGTACAGTGCAGTTCTGTCACCTTGCTGATAGCAACGAGTACCGTCGATGCAAGGTCTCGTGACTTGACCTCTCGACGACTTGTATTCGACGATTTCCGGGCATTTTCGCAGCTGCCGTGGCGAGTTCGTCACTGTTTTGAACTTCATCGGTCTCAGGCTTGACTTGATTTTAGTAGTCATCTTACCTGCCTACTTATATCGATGATGTTTTGTCTTCAGCGATGTAGCGAGTAGAGTCCCCGATGGCTCCTTCACCTCAAAATGTGAGCACGAAAACTACATACCACTGCCAAATATCCTGTTATCAACTGATATTAAACACACAATCACAGATGTAAAGAGCATTCGTGTTTATTTGAAGCATTGACTTCTGTTATTGAAAGTTAAACGAAAAAATGATTGAATTTGGAGACCTTTAATTTGTTACTCGCCGAAGAAATACAGCGAAAAGCAGACGCCAACGACGACTACTACGACAATTTTTTTTTTTTTTTTTACATCACGTGATTCTTCTCCACTAATCGTATTCGTCGCTTTGAGCGTTCCCTAGTTTCCTGTTTGTCCCTAGATTCCCTACGCAAATCCAGCGTTTAGCTAGGGGTGCGTCTGTAAAGCCGGCTTAACGTTGGTGCAACCGGAATTTAAACCCGTGCTTACCTGAGCTCGGTTTAGGGCGCTAAGCCGGCTTAGGAAAGTGCCGCTTTGGGTTAAGGTAAGCGGCGTTGGTGCAACCGGCCCTAAGGGAATCTATTCCATGAAATAGCAAGCACCTTGGTACACACTATATTTGAGGTATCTTGAAAAACTCAAGTGTAATTGAATCCTTCCCACAGTATGGGTTGCCGGGCTTTGCCTGTGCATGCTCTTTGTTCCGGAGGTCTCCAGTTGACGGCGCACTGCCGACTAGAAAAGCATGGCTTGAATATACAGAGCACTCCACTGCGGTCGTCAAATGTGATTGCGGTTGGGATCATGCTCAGTGCCTCAAGCCATACTTCCTTGCTGTGTCTTTTACCTGGAATCTTCTACTTTCGATTGTTGCAATAAGTGCGCCAGGCACGTAGCCGGGGGGAAAGGCGGGGGAGCCAGGCTCCCCCCATCTATAGTGCTGGCAGCCGAGGCAACTGCTTCCTGCTCTCAGCGTGAAATGCCACTCCACTTTTAGAAAACGGTGCTCGGTTGCAGGCGCTTCAGACGCTGGGTCAGGGCGTGCATCTGTTTAGCCAACGATTTGCTGCCATAGTGAGGGTGACCGTAGCAGACGGACTTTACTATGCAGAAGGATCATATGGCAGTGTTGTGAGGTCAAGTAGCAAACACTTTCACAGTGCATTTATTTCAATAGATGCAATGTGAACAGAAAGTGGCAAAAAAATGTTCGAGGACATCTAAGCACTTATGGGTTGCAAATACGAAAGCATGAATGTCGTTTTCCGCTCCCTTAGTTCGTCTGCGGCGTAGTAGCGTGGGCGGTCACGTTTCAGTACTGCCAAAGTAGCGGCCGACGGTCGAGCGCGTGCTCTTGTGAGCCACACTGAAATTGACTGTACAACCTCCTCCGAGTTCGCCCGACGGGCTCTGTGGCCAGGCAGCCAGGCCCGCACCGCTGCACCTCGCCAGGCCGCTGCAACCACTGCGCCGCCATACAGAGGGCTTCTCTGGCGGCGGTTTTTGGAACCACGCCGCACGAGAGCCAATGGGTGCCTCGTCCCTTGATGATGTGCGCCAGCCAATAAGAGCGTAATCCATCAGAGGTCGGCTTCACTTTGCTCCTTTTATAGAGGTGAATTTATCTGCCATTTTGCGTGGCTTTTTGCACGGCTTCAAAGCTGGAATGCTTCAGATTGTGGCTTTACTTCGCTCCATTGGGACAGGGGAATTTAGGAGCCATTTGGCACAGCTGATAACGTCGGCTCGCTCTATCGGACAGTTAATGCTTTTGCATTAATAAAGATTCAAGGCCGAGGGCTGGTTTTCTCGAGTGCCTAATATCTTGACAAGTCTTACATAAAAAAAAACATTTTTTTTTTATCAGACCGGCTTGGTTGTTTTTTTTTTTCTTGTTTTTTTTTTTTTTTGGTGAGAAGATGGGGCGAAAGTATGAATGTACCAAAGGTTTACTTTTGAATTAACCAACCGAAAAAATACATACCAGCAGTGGTGCTTGGTTAGGGGTCCCAGGTACCTGGGAGAGAGATGAGCTGTCCTGGAATAAAATCGTAACAGCACTTCATTAACCAGAGCGCCGGCTAGGCCAATTTTTGGCCAATTTCGTCAGAATCTTTTTTGGGCACGAGCATTTGAACCTCTTGGATAATGTCTACTTTCTTTTGGACATTTGTACGACTATCAGAGATAGAAGTACTTTGCAATAAAGAGTAACTGCCACATTCATTTGGACAAAGTCTGAAAATTCTTTCATGTCCTCATTAAACCATGCAAACTAAACTTGAACTGTAGGTGTCCAGGGATCCGTGTCATGGCGACGTGTCATGGCGACCGGAAGTCGCTTAATAAAAACTTGCACAGCTATACACGCTTGCAGGCGTGACCTTTGGGCACCGCTAGAACCAATGAATAAGCTTCATTTCAGAGTAGCGAAACTAAGGTATGGTGACTCGGCAGTTACTAGTGAAGCAGAGTAGCGGCAGCCATTTTGTTGCCTAAGCTTTAGAGGCGTTAGAGTAGCTGCACTAAGTATGGTGGCTAGAGAGATGCTAGTGAAGCAGAGTAGTGGCGAGAATTTGGTTGCCTGGCGGCAAACAGAAAAGAGCATTGACGCATAAAAGCGTACTTCCTTTAGTAAAAGTAGGCACCGCCATCTCCCTTGCTGGGGTGGTATGCCCCGAAGCGCACTCCAGCTAGTAAGACGGTGGCACCAAGAGGCCATGCTTGTAAGTGTGTACACCAAAGCAGGTTTAGTAATGTTGGCTGGTGCATAGATTCGAAGAAAACCAGGCATGCTACTTTCATAAGTGAGAAAATAATATTGAAAATATGGCCGGGACACTCAAAATCAGGCAATTTAGTATAAAAAATGTTCTTGGCTAAGGGACCGCACTAGAATGCTTGACAGGAGCACCCTTGTAGGGGCCTTTAAAGGGACTGTCCAACTATTTTCTCACTTTCGCTATATACTGTATAGAAAGAATCCTTGAGACTCATAATGAGAGAAATGTGTGTTAGTGTTTGTATCTGCATACTAGCAGCAGTTGAAAAAAAAAATTAAGAAAAACTATTAGTTTTCACCCCCTCAACTCGCATGCACGATCAAGCGGCCACCCGATCTGGTGCCACGCGTTTATGCCCCCAACGTTTGTCACAGCCTTGCGCTAGGTTTGGTAATGTAAAGGAGACGTGCTCTGCCAGGACATTGTTAGAGTTTGGTTATTTCCCTAATCGCAATGATTGAACATAAGCTCCAACCCAAATCTCTACACAGACTATCGTTTTTCCCGAGCCTGAGCAGTACGATGACGCACCGCTCACGCCCAATCCACAAGATGCATTCGGCTGGGGGTCCTTGGGGCTGACGCCATGGCTCCACCACACCCCATTTACAGGGCAGTGGAAGCTACATGCACATGATCGTAGCTTTGAACCGGGCTTTTGTGGAGCGAGTGCTTGCTTTAGGAGGAAACATTTCTAAGCAAGGAGTGTGGGCTAGCTCGCGCTTATGGCCTTTGCTGTGCTGTCGCCTGAAGGGTGAACAAGATACCCTGTGACTACGCAACCCTATGGCCTTGGACCGCGTCACCAAGTTTCGCGAAGGCAAGAAAATAAATATTTTACTCTTGAGCTTATACAGCAACAACGGAACTTCTGGCTCAGTGCAATACATTTGACTCTACTTGCAGAATTTATGAAAAAGCGAACTGAAAATGTTGCATAGCCCCTTTAACGCTCGGCACCCCCTACTTCGCCTCACCCTAGCATGGGCTAACCGGAGAAGCCGTGCTAGCGCGAGACACCCTGACCCCGACTGACGCTCGCGCTGCACGAGTGCCGTGCAGCCGCCCAGGCGTCATTCAAAACGATTATCTCCCTCTTCAAGCACATGCGGTCAACAATAGGTCATGCTAAGATGAGCCGAACAATAAACATTTCCATACCAGCGTCTCAGGGAGCATTCATTGCCGTGTCTGTGCATTTCGCACGAGCATTCTCTGGCACGCCCCAGTTGTAAGCACGCGCTCGGTGGTCTGTTCGAGCCCATGTGGACTGTGACATTTGTAAACAGTGGCATCGTCTGTAGACGATTCCAATGTTTACAAATGTCACACAGACGTGCTTACCAACAGTCCAGCCCGTGCGTGTTCGTCGCTTGGAAAAGCGAGCAGAGCACGCGCCATACGCACGAACGCTACAAATCCGACCTAAGTTCTTTACCGGAAAGATCGATAGACGCTGATGTAAAGTACACAAGCAACAAGGCGCATGCAGGGATTGTAGGTACACGAGCAGTACGTGCTGTCGTCTGCAGAAGTCATCCTTTATCTATAACAAGTGCACCGTTTCGCGAGTGTTTGTCGTCTTATTTTTGCTATTTACTTCGATTATTTTTAATGTGCAAGGCGAGCGCGTGCAGCTCGTGTAACTATACTCGCTGCTAGTCCTTGGTAATTGGGAAATTTACCAAATCGTCTATTCATATCTTCCGCAAACGATTCTGACTTACGGGCTCATCGGTTTCCTCCGCAGTTCCATCGTTGTTTTTCTTCATTTGCTTGCGTCAGGCAGTTGCTTTCGGTAGCACAAATTCATGTCCAGGCTCCAAGTACTGCTTCCGCTTCGTGCCAGACATGTTGACCCGATCAAAGCCTTTAGCTACTCAAATGAAACGAAGATACACCAGCAATCACCCACAGAACCGGTGACAACAACTGGCACCATGTGCGTCTGCCGAATCGGATTGGATTGGATAACATATGTGACAAATTTTTCTTGGCAGTAAAATTGGTAAAATGCAGGCATTCCAAGCCAGCAAAAACAGCAAATATTATTTAAACAACGTAGATCGATAATTTAATCACAAAATTAAGTATCACAAAACATTTAGTCGACAAAATGAACATTCAGTACACAGGAGGGCATTTACTTGATCGTACGATGTTTTAGCGAACGAAAACGAAACCAGACCAAGTCGTCTGCTTCTTGTGCAGGAGTTGCGTGGACATCAGATCGACGCTGAGCTCCGATTGGCTTTGATTGAAAGATAGTGGGCAGACCTCAATTCTAGGTACCTCGAGGTCTACCCACTATTCTCTTTCAATCAGCCAACAAGAGCTCAGCGTTCTGACATCATCGCAACCACTGCACAAGTAGAAGACAAGCTTGCACTCCGCATTGGCGAATGGCTCTGTGCTAGTACTACTTTTTTTTTATAGTAGCCTAGCTTGCCGAACCCTTGGCGGTGAACCCTAGGCGGGGCACGCTCGAACTTCATATTACATTTATTTACCACGACGGATAGCGAGAGATGGTCTGTCTAGAAGCGTAGCTTGATTCTCTCAAAGGATTTCTATTCGCTAAATAGTCGTTCGTTAAAACGCCATTCGCTCATATAGTTATGTTATGCACCTCAGTACGCACGAGCTACGTGATCACAAGGGAATGCTAGAGTTGGAAATAGTACGTAACACATGTTACAATCGAATGCGCCGATAAGTTTCTTAAATAATCAATAAAACTATCTGTTCAGGTTTCATCTGTTTACTTTCAAATAATTTCTAACGATTATTTCTTAAGTATTCCTGCATGAGCCTCAGCTCCTAGGTTCTGGAGAATGGTGATGGAGATTTCACGCCATCCATCTCTACATCAAAACTTCAGCACAATTAAGTATGATCAATCGGCTTATTTCTTATTCAAATGAGCTTATTAACAGAAAACGTAGAACTGTATGGTGTGCGTTGAGTAGATGGCCTGTATTGCTTACTTTATCGGGCGCCATGATCCGTGTGTGCTCTCCGGCATACGTACCAGGTGGCTCTGCTAGTACTTACATCTTCGCGCTGCGGTCCTACGGTCCCCCAGGAGGAAAGACACCGACAGCGTGATAAGCGAACATATCACTGTGACTTGTGGAGATGTCTACCGAATTCCGAGGATAGTATATATGTGTACAAAAGTGTTTGTCCAGAGCGATCCGATATTACAACCCTAGCTGAGCACGTCGCATTTGATATCTGTCCATGCAGAATGCTGGGCTAGATTGGTATTGGGATGTCAAGGGCATGGTAGCGCTTTAAGACAAGGACGAAGAAGGGACTAGAAGATTGGGTTGTGTGTATGTTTATACAGCCTAGAGCTTGGTCTGCCTCAACGGGCGACGAGTCTCCCAGCTGTAGATGAGCAATTTAGCCAGTGCAGTACAACCGCTAGCCTGCGGTCTTTAACGTGCACCACGCAGTAGTGATAGTCGACCGCACGCCGGTACGATGCTCATCCAGATCGAAACGGGCGGGGGTGGGGATTGAAACCAGGATCCCTGAGTTCTGTAGCGCGAACTTTCGCTCCACGTGCTCCGAGCTGGTGTACGCTAGCCCACTCTGCTACCGATCCCCCCTAGAGACTACACACCCTAGAGACTACACACACAAGCGCTGACTGCAACTATTCATTCAGTTGCAGTCAGCGCTCGTGTGTGTCTAGGTCTCTTCTTCCTCATCTAAAAGCGCTACCATGCCCTTGATATGTTGACAAGAAAGCACTTTCGAAATCACAGACAGCTGCATAAAACGTATAGCTACTTATTTTCGTAAAGACGGAACCTAAAGCACGTATTTGTAGACATATAGGGAACAGTAATTGGCTCGGTGCCAATCAGTTCATCAAACAGCGTTTCATCGACAAATCGTTTCGTCGACACGAGCAAGCGTTCGATTATTTGATGGGCACACCGGAGCATCATTTTTCCGCTTCGCCCGATTGTATATAGCCTCTGGGCTGCTTGCCATACCTTGGCGGTTCCGAAGAGCCGTTCAATATAATCTCCTTGATTCAATCGAGTTCTCCGGGGCTTCACTCTTGCCTTAGCTGCTCGGGCTCATATATAACCTAATAATGCCTGTTATTTTTTTTTACGTGTTTAGGGCACGTTAGATTTTGCGGCGCCTGGTACCAGCATAATATCCATCCGTAAGTTGTAGGCGCTCGTTTAGGCGTTTAGCTGTTCTTCTGTTTCCTTAACAGACATGTGTTACTGTTTGTTGTTGCTGTTCCTCGTGCGGTGCCGGCGTGGCAGCGTCCGGGTATTGAACCCGGACCGGCGGATTTTTTGGGTCGCGCACCAGTCACCTAGCTGTGTTTGGAGATTTATGTTTGTCCTTTGTCGCTCTTGTGTTCCTTCTCCAGGGATTATTTTCGTCATTCCTGTCCAGCTCGCTCACGAAAAGTGGACAAAATCAATATTGCGAAAACTACGCGTCGCAACAACAACAAAAACAACAAAAGAGACGGTTTTGGTCCTCGGCCAGGAGCCTATTTAGGAAAATTTCCTGAATAGGCCTTTGGCCCCGTACCAAAACGACACAAGCCTTGTTTTTGTTGCGACGTGTAGTTTTCGCAATATTGAATTTGTCCACCTTTCGTGAAACACCCTGTAATCATCTCCGTAGGCTGGTTTCGCATTTTCTGAATATTTGTGCAATTCACAACATACGCTGGTTCAATGTAAAATTAAAAATGGTATTGTCATTAATGAAATTTTCACTGGCACTACACCGCGACTAGCATCAACGCTGCTACTGGCCGGTCTAGCGGTCTAGTCAGAACACGCAACGGATTCGAAGTCAAATCCATATCAAATCTAAATCCAAGGACGCCATTTTGTTTTATGTCGCTTTTTTTTTATTCGCGTCGCTGTTGTCACGGTTGTCACCTTGTCTCTGCTGCCCGAAAATGTCGAACTTTGTTCTTGTGCGCTATGATGACGATATTTCCGAGGTAGTTCCCATCGGCTATGTAAAGAACAAGGAAGCAGAGAATGTTAGGAAGCACGGAAAATATAAAATCGCGTGGTGTGCAGACATCAACGTGAAGAATCAAGAACCCCCGGAAGGGGTGAAGTATTACAAAGGAGTAGTGCTGCAGTTGATTGGTGAGTTGCTTTGTTTTATTTCTTCATTCTTGCTATAGAACCGCGCCACAGTGCTTGTTGGTCCACGCCGATCTTTTGCGTGCACCTTCTTCCTCGCGCTAGCTGGGCTGTTTTCGTCTAGGGTTGGATCTGTTGCAGCTAGGGTGCCTTCATGTGCGCTCCCGGCAGAAATTTAGAAGCGTTTTTTTTTTTCTTCTTGCCTCTGTTGCGGGAACGCTGAATTTTGCCGGTTAACAACGTACACAGTCGGCTCTCCCATCGGTCGATGGGAGAGCCGATCACTGCCACCGCCCAACTCAAAGTACGAGGGAAAGAGAAAAAAAGGGGGGGGGGGGGGGGCGCGCGCGCGGCGGCGGCGGGGGGTGGGGCGGAGGGGGGGGGGGTGCTAGAAACTTTCTAATTTTTAATTAATATGCACGAAAGAAAAAAAAAACGCATGCGGCATCGCGGATGCTTTTGTGTAATTGCGGTATTGTTGACGTTGTGTTGTGCTTTTGTCTCATTTTTTTGCTACCTAGTATGGTTACGTGACCTCCATTCCCCATCTATTTTAAACATGTTATAGACACACTCAAAGAAGCCCAGAGCAGCAGGAGCACTAGGATTGCCGAAGTTTCTGCAGCTGGGGCGAAAGAAAGTGCCAAGACACTTGGAAAGGTATATGTGCCCAAAGCATTAGAGACCATAACCTTTATTGACCCTTTTGAAAATTACTCTTCTCCAAGATTGTTTGGTAGGAACATGTAACACATGCACTGCCAGGCGTCAGACACCGAAACTTTAAGTACAGCATTTTGCAATATGACAACCCACCTGGATTGCGTGGCCGAGACAGTGGCTGGCGGGGAAGCTGCGCGGCTTTTATAAATTCCATGTTGCTCTGAGAAAAGGACAAGTCTGTTGGAAAGATCGGTTACCGAGTGTGTCAACGTCTATTCACACGATGCATATTGTTGGCGAATTTCGTGTCGCGAAACTAGGTTTCGGGAAACAAATTCTCCGTCTGAACGCAACCGAAAAAGTGGCGCGCCTCCGAAAATAGTGGCGCGTGTTCCTCGCTTCTAGAGCAATTTTTCGCTGAAACCTCACCGACGCCTGTCAATCACCCGAAAGAGGAACGTGGACGCTGCCAATGGCCGCTCGACTTTGCGGAGTCCTCCGCGAAGTGGAGTGGCCATTGCCGCTCGAAGTCGGAGTCCTTGAAGTCGACTTCGCGACCTTCGAGGAGGAGCGAGCTTTTGGAGGAGTTTGATTTTTTGCCGATTCCATGTCAGAGCCGAAGCCGAAAGAAAACAAACAAACATGGCGAGCGACAAGCGGAGAAGCGGTGCGTTCGGGCGACGAGTCTTGGTCTTACTCGGTTGCAGGTGTGTGAACGGCGCCTACAGTACGGGTTGGTGGCACGGTGCAGATTCATCAACAGTCGCGACGAGTGGAAGCACCGCATATAAGCATGATGACTGGGGATAACATTCTTTATTAGCGGTGCAAAAATGTCACAAATGTTTGGAGATCTTCTGCCTGTTCTTTGACGTTTGCGGTTTTTCCCAAGTTTGGCAGGACTGGTAAACCCAGTGAGCCGAATCTGACGAAGTTTATTGAGTGGTATTAATCAAACACTGTCTCTTCACACTGTGGGTACTTCATACCATTTTGATGCGAAACGCTTGGTATTCCCAGTGCAGATGACAAGGTTTGGCGAAATTCTCGTGAGTCAATACGTCGCAGGTTTCGCGCGTGAAACTCCAAGTGTGAACAGGCCGATTTCGCGATATCTTGGTTATGCTAAACTGTGGCGCGTTGAAAAGATGCATCGTTTGAATAAGCCTTTAGCGCACACCAGCTCGGAGCACATGGAGCGAAACCTCGCATGGCAGAACCAAGATATGGTAGAAAACATGCCCGGTCATCTCATGTTTTTTATTATTTTCTGGTGCCCCGTTATGTAGGTCCCTAGAGTGTGGCTAATATGGTGCCAACCCTATTTGTATATGAGTCATAGTTTTGACATTTAAGGGGCCCTGCAAATACTTTTTTACTGGTTTTTGGTTTGTACCGAACCTGAGCACACTGAACGTAGTAACTTGATGAAAGTTTTCTTTTCACGAATTTCGCTTTATTTTAGAAGTTATAGGCAAATTAAAATTACGAAAACAAGCAAAAATAACCTCCTTCGTGGCATTCCTGGTTGCTTGAGTGGCCGTAAACTAGAAGTAAGCTCATCGAGCGCTCACGGCTGCCGCACTGCGTGTCGACAGCTCGAGAGGGTGCCACTAAAGCATGTGTTGGATAGGCTGTATAAAGTGGGCGCAACAAATGCAATGCGCACCGCATTGCATTTGTTGCGCGATTAAAGACTAATTCGGCATGACACTTCATTGGCCACAAACGACAGCAAACACGGGGTAAAGATCAGTTCAGACGTGAAGACACTTCGCGCTGTCATACGGCCAAACCGCAAGCCAAACCTGCTCGCTGACAGCCTGTGGAACGCTCGGAACCAGTCGGATCCTCCAGCCCGTATACGACCGCAGCGCCACCGCAAACATCGGGGACCTTTCTTTGCTCGCCACTCGTCGGTGCCTCATCCCACTACCCCTTTCTAGTATGTGCCGCCTTTTCCACCACTTGGTGGCGGGTATGTCGACGGGTCATTTCTTGTTTCCGTACTTTATAAACTGCATTTGTTTCTTTTCTGATCTAAAATACTGAACAAAAACCATTTTTATACATAATTGAAGCGGTTTGCGCCACTTATATTTTGTATTTCGACTAAAAAGAAGCTTTTAGCAGCTCTGATTAGTAGTAAGCCCGGGACCAAAGACTAGACACATCGCTTGCTTTAGGCACCGCGGGTCACCCCCGTAGGTGGAGGAGGTTTCCGCGTCATCCGGTTAAAATATTGTGCGCTGATATTTAGTTACTCTCTTCGTGCCCGCTGGCTTGCCCGAGCCCCAAGAGATGTGGAAACCGCAAAAAAGGTAGACGCTAAATATAATTGCAGTGCCCCTTTAAGCAACTGTTGCTTGTGTGTGAGACAGGGTGTATATGAACAGTTCGCTGCAAAATTTTTCGGGACATGAGAGTGCCAGCCGAAACGCATCGCTGCGTCGCCTCGTTGACCGCTGCATGGTATCAAGACCTGCACATTGCACATGTGCTGCCCTTCATACTAGCAGGCATGTCCTCTTCCCTCGTCGGACAATGTCGGACGGAACCCAGGGGTCTAGCGACTGGGAAACCGAGAAATGTCAGGGAAATTTTAGTTACCGTGAAAAATGAGGAAATTGTCAGGGATATTGTCAAAAAGCAAGCCCAGTCATGGAAAATGAGCCGGAAACGCCATTGAGTGCCTTGACCAAAGACTTGAGGACTTGGGGGCAGACAAATAGGCAACAAATTCTGCTTAGAGCGGAGCGCAGACTCTGCTCACCCGATGTAGAGTATGCTACCCGAAGCAAAAGGAACAGCCGACAAATCCAGTCCAAGCCTTGGATTGCATGAGATTGAGGGCGCGACACTAAGCTAAATCCAGTTAGAGCTACTAGATTTAGCAACAAATGGGAAAGCCGCAGACCCCAATCCAATCCAATTCTTAAGCCGAAAGTATCTGAAAGTGTTCATCTGGCGGCCATGCTGCCTGCCTGGAGCTGAGCCGGTTGGTATGACATGATTCTGAAGGTTTTCAGCTGAACGTAGAAGTAAAACCAAGGAGCGGTGAACACCAGCAGTGTGTCTCTTTTTCTCCACTCCTTGGTTTTACTTGTACGTTCAGCTGGAAACCTTCAGAGCTATGCTGCCATTCGGTTATTGACGTGTGTGGCTGAGCATCGTCTTTTCATTGTGTTTCCGAAAGTGGCCTCTTCACTGACGATGTCGGCAAGAAAGTGCTTGTTTAATCTGGACAGGACGAACCCGAATATTTTGGAATATGCAGGTTGGATTAAGCCCGTGCAAAATGATCCCCACTGTGCTCTATGCTCAATGTCTTGTGTTGCAATGGTTTTATATATTTAACCGCCTCTACATTGGTCAGGGAATTTCACCTGAAAATGTCAGGGAAAACCTGGAAAGGTCAGGGAATTTCAATATATTAATTTGCTAGACACCCTGGAAGAGGACATGCCTGCTAGTACGAAGGGCCACGCATGCGCAATGTGCAGGTCTTGATACCAGGCACCGGGCCACGAGGTGGCGCAGCGATGCGTTTCGGCTGTCGCTTCCATGTCCTGCCAAATTTTGCAGTCAACTGTACTTAAACACCCTGTCTCACATAAGAGTAACAGTTGCTGAATGTAAAAACTATGAATTGTATACAGATAGGGTTGGCACGATATTAGCCACACTCTAGGGACCTAGTGGGGCACAAAGCATTTATGGTAATTAATTCGTTTAATTGTTTTGCATGATTATCTTAATTATTAGTCATAAGCACAAAGTTCCAGTTATAAAGTTGCTGGGCATAATTAAAAACCACTCGATTAGTCAGTTTTAATAAGATTGGGATTGTGCATGAAGCTTAGTGTAGCATAAGGTCGCCATGTTGGATGCAGGCACAGGGTTGGTGGAGCGAAAAAGCGGATAAGAAACAAAATCTTTGCGGGCGTGGCGCATTTTCATGACCCGGAAAACCGGTACACGTATGTTTTTACTAATTGAAGTTACCAAAGATATCCTTGTTAATTAGGTACCTAATTGCACAAGCAGCCTTTTCCTAGTGGCCACTAGTTTGGGCAAGCTGAAGGCATTATTGAAAGTGCCCTAACGCCAGTTCCCTTGTTTTAATATTTTTGTTTGTCTTGGAAGGAACATTGAGTATATCACGCACAGATTTGCATGCGTGCCCTACTGATGCTGGCAATTGCTGGCTATCACTAACCATCCTGGGCGAATACTCTTGCCATGATGAAGCGTAAGATTCATGCCACCATCCTAAAGAGCGAATGCACTTTTTAATGCCGAGATCTTTCATATATAGTCCATCAGTATGAGTTTGTGTTTGTTAGACAGTCTCATTCTGACATTTTCACCATATAATACTGACAAAAAACATGTGATGCCTATGCTTGTTTCTATACTTCTTGACAGCAAATTGATTGGTGTGGTCAAAGCAGCTTAACATTCGCGGGCTCAATATTTCGCGATTGAGGTCAAAGCTGAATTTTTGGAATAATTCGCGAGCTCTAATTTTCGCGACGAGGTGGGATCTCAGTATAGATTCCAATGTGTTTACATTTTACCAAAATTGTTCGCGGGTCCTATTCTTCGCGAATTGTAGGTGATTCGCGAAATTCACAAAAATTAGGTCTACGCAAAAATTAAGTCGTTTACAGTATTAAGTTTCGTAAAGAATAGCACATACATTCGTTTTTATCAGTGTGCTCATCTGAAAAATTAATATGGCATCTGTCCTTTCTCTTATTCCAGACTCAAAAGGCCAATGCAGCTGTTGGCCAGGTGACAAACTGGGACGAGATCCTGAAAGCCCACAACAAGGAGGTACGAAAAAATCCAGCTTTTGCGGATGGAGACCTACCTGTGCCGCTGGGGCCTCTGATGATGAGGTAAGAAATGCAGTAATTGCATGTCCAAAGTGTTTCCCCAAGCACGGCTGCTAACTCACTGAAATACTCTTATTAATTGTATGATTGTATGAGGGGGTGCCTGTACTATCACGATCAATATAAGTGCGAACACCGCTTTGCGCGGTCCACGGTACTATCAGTGCGCCCTGGCGATTGCTCTTTGAAGTAGAAGTGCACATTGCAGTCGAAACATGTCGTCCCCAGCGATCGCCGTGCCACACTGCACTTCTGGTCGTCTGCTAGCGAAAAACGGTCAGCGAAACCGTGAAACTGTTTTAAGGTCATCCTTTTGATTAAGAATTTCGGTAGATTATTCCCATTACTCCAATAACGACAACCGATACTTCGCCGACGCCTTAAAGCATGCATCATATTGCTATCGAAGATATCAAAACAATCAATTAAGACTGCTTATTATTTCCTCTCTGTGAGTTTTGCGAGAGCAAAGAACCACCAATGCGCACAGGCATGAAGTTTGTGCGGTGCGAGCGTGGGTGATATGCTTCACCATAAAAAAACGGGGCAAAAAAAAAAAAGTACGACGAGGACATTTTGTGCGTCTCTTCTACGTCATCGTCGTTTATTTCGCGCTGTTTTTCATGATGAAACGTATAACCCAAGCTCGCACCGCACCAGGGTTGGGCAGTATTGCGATACAAATCTATGGCGAAAGTATTTCAGAAACATATATCGTATCTGTATTTCTGTATCGCGATACATTTTTTTTCACCAGTATCCGTATTGCTGTATCGAAATACATTATGAATGTTCCTTTGTATCGCGATACAATCAGGGTGAAATGTATTTCGTTACATTTCTTGAGAAATACTCACCCCCCCCCCCCCCCAAAAAAAAAAAATACAAATCCAAACATATTTTTTTTTTCTGAGGGCACCAGGGTCAAGGAGATGCTGGAGCATTGTTACCATACTGACCAAGGTTCCTTCCGATTCTCCAAACTCTTTTTCTATGCGTGCTCTTCAATCTTCTGAGAAGTGTTCCGTAGTCGGGGACTCGAACCAGGCGGTGTGCCAGGAGTGGAGTCAGAGCATCTTCCGCCGCAGGTCCTTAGGCAGGGGTTTCTTGAGTCATTGTTTGCTGGCATCCAAAGCCCGCTGCTAACCGTCTCTCTTGCCTTAGCGTACACAGTACACCCAGCCGGCAAAGCTGAGTCACAGTCCGCTGCAGCACATGCCTGGCGGTGGTTGACTTGAAGTAATAGGTCTGTGAAGTTCAACACATTGGAATGCGTTTGCGGCTGCGCCTGTAATATCGCACGGCTCAAGGATACGTCATCAGCCGACATGAAAGTGACCCGCTGTTCTGGTGATCCGAAACCCAGGAAGGAGGCCATGTGCCGTCCCAAACTTCGTACACCTGCGACTCGTCTCGAGCACGCTGTTTCTCGGAGAGCTCGCACCTGTGCCGGCAATATCAGGTCGCAATCCACGAGGTCTTTATTTGGAGTATGCAAGACGAAACTTAAAGACTGCAATCCATGCGTCGGTGGCGGAAGGTCGGCAGGAAGGACATTCACAACAAGGATGCCACCGTATTGTTTTTTCATCCGTAACAGAAGATAAGACATGTGTTCCAGGATGCTTCAAGTGGTTTGCTATTCTCGAAAATTCCAAATGACACTGCCTGCACGATCTTCAACGAGGTAACCTACAACGAAAGTACATACGTATTGTCCTTTCATACTGCAGCGTGGTAAAGTTTCATGTTCAAGGCCACACCCAGTTCATTCCACCGTGACGTCATGTGATAAATGTTGACAGGGGCGTGGTGACGCTTTGATGGGATTTAGGATTACACAGAATTTATTTAGAGGTCGAAGTCTTTTCGCATTCCTTGTCAGACAGACAAAATGTCTGGGAAGGGACCGCGGTCAATCCTTGATGGAATGTTTTTTTGAGCCCATTGAAAACACCTTGTCGTCCGAAGTCACTACCTTCAAGGCAAAGTGCCAAGCCTACGGGAAAGTAATTTCGGGATCAAAAACTTCCACTTCCAAGTTCAATGCTTCATCTCGTTTGGCGTCTCAAACAAATTTTAAAAAATTGTATTGCTGTATCAGTATTTCTGTATTAGTATTTCTGCCCTCCCTAAAATGTATTCCCGTATTTGTATTACTAAATACTTTTTGTCTCTATTTAAAATGTATATCCGATACGTATCGCGATACACTTTTACAGATATATTTCACTATCAGTATTTCAGCTACTATTTTAATGCATCCCAGTATTTGTATTTCCAAATACATTTTAAAGTATTTCTGCCCAACCCTGCACCGCACTAACTTCTTGCCTCTGCTTATTGGTGATCCTATGCTCTCGCAAAACTCACTCGAAGGAAATATAAAGCAGTCTTAGTTGATTCTTTTGATACCTCCGATAGCAATATAATGCATGCTACAAGGCGCCGGCGAAGTATCGGTTATTTTTATCAGAGTCATAGAAATCATCTACTAAAACTTCCTTAAAAATATTTACACAAGTTATTTCTGCTGGCACACATTGCTAGCGAAAAATGCGCTTCATCACTGGTGAACAGTTTCGCGGTTTCGCCGGGCGACCGTTTTTCACTAGCAGACGACCCAAAAGTGCAGAGTGGTGCGGCAATCGCTAGAGACGATATGTCTCGACCGCAAGGTGCGCGTATACTTCGAAGAGAAATCGTCCGGGGGCACTGATAGTACCGCGGGCCACGCGGAGCGGTGTTCACACTCATATTGATCGTGATAGTACCACGAAAGACAGGAAAAGCTAAAGTGTAGATAATGATAACGAATGGGGCCATACGCAGAAATCATTGTGTGGTTGTAACATCCTTTCTCCCAACATCCTTTCTCCCTTACAACAAGCAATGTTAACCGCCAGTGCTGTTCAGGGACAAATGCGTCCCCGGAATCTACGAGTTGTCATCGCTCTAAAGTGTGACATTTCTACATGGGTCACTCAATGATTTCACTGGGTGGTTACCCTAATGTCTTATTCACACTGGAAGTGGACCCAAAAAACGTGAAGGGATCCACAGGTTTACAGCTGCAAAAACGGTTGGAGCACGTTTTCAGAATTGCTCCAGTACCGATTTTTCAGAACCGCCTTTGCTGACCGTGAAGCTGTTGGCAAAAGCTCACCAATAGCAACTCAATGCTGTCGTGATGCTGGCACTAGCTAGTTTTAATTAAACTTCTTCCCTTCGTTCTAAACGTTTGCGTGACTAGCGTCTCGCTTTGAGATTCATTCAAGGTGAGGCAGTGGCTGAGCGTTTTAGGACTAGCGTCTGAAATGCGGCAGCAGCACAACTAGAGCAGGCAAACAAGCTGGCAATCTGGTGAAATAGATTCAGAAGGAAACTCATGAGACAAAATCAACACAGCCCTCATCTGTTCCTTCCTCACTGATTCCGAGAGCTTCCTGCTGCGGTTTTTTGTTTTATATACAGGGTGTCGGAAAAAAAATTTACAGGTTTTTATTGCAAATATAAACTAGGCATCGCCGAACGCTCATTCTTCGCCCAAAGGTAGCGCTAGAGGTCACAAGCAATGCAAAGTTTCAGCGCAATCCGATACCTTATTCAAAAGTTATTAGTGCTTTTCTGAAAAGTGCAATGGGAAAATGGCCGCTGACGGAGTTTTCGAATACATGGGGCTCTAAGGCACTCAAAACCGAAAATGGGCAAAAATGGGCTCCATTTTCCCATTGAAATTTTCAAGAAATCACTTATAACTTTTGAATAAGGTATCGGATCGGGCTGAAGCTTTGGCACCTGGTTGTGACCTCTAGCGCTACCTTTGGGCAGAGAATGAGTGTTCGGCGATGCCTAGTTTATATTTGCAGTAAAAAAAAAACTGTAATTTTTTTTTTTTGTGACACACTGTACATTTGTTGGACTGTGCTTCCTGCTAGCGTAATGATGCACAACTTCTGCCCCGGGCAACAACTGTCAATCAGAAAGCTCGGTGTGCTTGCAGTAAGCAGGTTCTATGGAATGCGATAGTCTGCAAACATTTAGTGGTTTTTGGCTGAACCAATCAGCTGCCGGCCTCGTGCCAGGTGTGCTGCTTTCCCTGTGCACCTGGAGGCAGGTGTGCACCAACACACAATCTGTGACACTGCTATGCCCTGTGGTGATTAATGTTATACATTTTTGACAGAACAAGTCAGGGCAGTAGCACCAGTTGCTCTACCACCTCCTGTACCACCTCCTGTGGTGGAAAGGGCCGCACAGGCAGCTGCAGCCTTTGGCCCAGCGGCAGCTCCTGCGGCTGCTGAAGCACCCGCTGCAGCAGGCTCCCTTGGTAATGAGCCTATGTATGAGCTGCTTGCATACACTGAAGAGGGTGATATGGCAAGTTGATTCAGTAATTGTTAGTTTCATAAGATATTTGTGGATGGGAGGCACTTTTATGTTAGAAGGAAGTTGTCATTATTGGAAGTCTGGGCCTATTAAACGGCACTGACCATTTGTCACTGACCATGTAGAAAGTGCTGAAATTTTCACGTGAGGAATATATTTAGGCACCATCATGACAAATTATTGTTCCTTGGTGTTGCAGCAAGACACCAGCAGTGGCACAACCCAGTGCATGAAAGTCATAATGTCGTAGAAAACATTCAGAAGCGAATTAGACTTTGTAGGTAATCTAGACCTGTTCCCATAGACTTCTGTGCGAATTCATCGGACATTAAAGGGTAAATGGTTTAAAGGGATACTGAACCGAAATTTCGAGCTCACAAAACAATGCTGGACAGATAGGCGGGACGCTGCAAAACCTGAAAACATCATTCATATAGCGATATCTCCAACGGATCGCCATATTTTTGGGAAAGACGTGCACGATTGAACACGGCCGACGAGCCTGACGAGACAAGGCACGTCACGATTCTCATTCCTTCTCCTTCTCGCTGTTCCGTCAAGCTGGTGAACCGAAACGAGGAGAAGAGAAGCCAAGCCGCTTCCCCTCATTCTCATATTCTCACGGAGGACAATTACGTCAAAGACCGCACTTGATCGCACCCTTCTTTTGCAAAAGTAGGGCCATCTGTTTGAGGTATCGATGTATGAGTTATATTCTGGAGTTCGTAGTGTCCCGTTCAACGCTTCTGCAACCTAATTTTTCAATATCCAAATTTCGGTTCAGTATCCCTTTAAGCCCACATTCTTCAGTAATGATACTATTTGACTTCTGCAATTCTTTCTACATTCGTTAGGCGCGTGCAAGCGAAACTTGTGCGTCTTTTGAGTATCAAGGGAGCCTCCTTTTTGTTTCTTAGTCTGCCCTCTGTTGCTTTGTTACTTAAGGCAAATTCATGTGGTCAGTGTTCAGCAACCTTTTTTGCCAAACACCCAGCAACAGCATTGGTGTGGTCACGATACGGCGGGTGCAATGCGGTTGGGTAGCGGTTTTTGGGCAAGCACAGGCATCTTTCTCATACTTTTTCTGCCCAAGCTCCAAACAACCTGGCCAGCAGGCAACCACACTATATCCGGTGTCCTCATGTCCAGATTAGGAAAGGAGATTAGTTAAGGAAATCAACAACCAAGTGAAATGGATCCAGTGTCTGTTGGTAGCTGTTGTGCAGGGACACAGTGCAAGCAATGCGCGCGAAATGATGCACATCGGTGGCGGCATCAACAATGGCCTCCCGTATTTGTATCATTGATGTTGGGGCCATAAATGTACTTGTTATTTTTTGCCTTTTTGCCCAGAGGCAGTATGATGCAAAGCACTAGAGGAATTCTATGAATATCCAGTGCTTCAGTACTAGGGGGCAACTTGTGCTACCTAGGAATGAGCGTGCCACCGTCCAGCATTTCATGCTCTGGTGGCGAGGGTCACATGGTGTTCCCTCGGTGCAGTTCTGATTGCATTTAGTTTAAATAGGCAGCGACAAATTCTCAGTTTGGCAACCTTCCTACAACAGGAAATAGGGTATGAAACCATGGGCAATATGTGACCATCATTTAACTCTAAAATAACTAAAATAACTGAAAAGCATCACAAAAAGCACGAGTAAGCGATGGCGAAATAGCCAAGAACAGTACACGCGACATGCCGAGGGGTGCGTGAGCCCGCCAGGTGAAGGCAGCTTATGTGAGCTTGAAAGCATGCGTGGAAGCTCACTGGTCGCCAAGCCTGCAGGCTTCATTGGCTCACTCGCTTCCAAAACAAATGGAGAAAGGCCGCATGCTTGGATCGCATGTTTGGGGGAGCCGACGAGTGTGACTGCAGCATGCTCTGGACTTTTACGTTCTGTGTGCTTTTCGGTAGCGCTCAGATGGCGTCGTTTGCACCATCGACACCATCTGAAACGATAAAACACGACCTCTTAACGCGCCCGTGGTCGCAGCAGTTCTCAGGAAATCCTCTGCCGCGCTTGAAATCTAAAAGCTTGGTCACATTTCCAATGCAGTGGTTTCACAAACCATCATTTCTGCTTTTATTTGAGAAAGTCCCCCCTCCCCATATTTCTCACACCGCTTCAAAAATTGACCCAATTTTCCGGAAAATTAGGGTGTTAATAGGGCAAGGAAATATGGTATGTTGTCCTCTAATGCCAAAAAACAAAATAAGTATGTTTGCAGAACCACTTTCTAAAAATATTTTTACATTTCTTTTAGCACACTAAACCGTTTTCTGACCAGTCAGGTCAGACCGTTTTCTGACCGCGAAGCCCTGCCTTATCGGTCAAGCCCGGCAATAAAAGTTGTGTTTCTTCAGGTCGAGAGGAAATGTTTCTGTTTTCGGGCGAGTTTTCTCGTGTGTGTGTGAATAAGAGAGGTCAACTTTACAATAGCCCTTAGTTATATCCATTTATTAAATCATTATTATATCTAACCTGCACCTTTCCCCTCCCCTCACCACAAACGGGGTCCTCCATCATATCCGCCGGCCCACATGGGTTCCGCGAAACATAGATGGTTGCGAAACCACTGCACTAGGGTATCATAAATACAGTAATCACTTCGCATAAATCAGCATTGCACGGAGAGCAGCTCTTTCTGGTTCTCACCAGGCACCTTTGATTTGCCACCTCTTTTAATGTTTTACAGATGAACTTCACCGATGTAGGAGTTCAACTGCAAAAGAAAGCATGGAACAACGCCATGGATCCGAAGATTGGGGCAAGTGTGGCCATTAAGAACCTGGCCACGTCCTTGTGGGGCTCGAACGTGCTCCTCACGAGGACCGTGACGGGAGTTCTGTCGAATGCCAATAAGGCCAAAGAATCCAGGCCACCTTTGACACCCCAGAAGGTGGCATTCTTAAGAGGTGAGGGCAAATCACCTGACACAATTTTAATCTAAACAGTAATCCTGTAATTTTTTTTCCTAATTAATGCCTCGTCTGAGTATTTGTATTGTATTGTAGTGACGTGATTGATTTGTAGAAGTGGCAGTAACTCTTTCCTGCATGTCAAAGTGGCGAATAGTCCAGTGCCATAGCTTAATGTGTACGTGCCATTTTGTGCCAGTGACTCGTATAAAGGCCCATTCACACTTTTGCGACCGAGAGAGACCAGACCGCTTTTTAAACCTCTTGCGATCCCTTACGACCATGCTCCGCGCTGCAGTGCATCCGGTCCTAAGAAGTTGCAAAAAGCTTAAAAACCGGTCTGATCTCTCTCGGTCTTACTCGGTCGCAAGAGTGTGAACGGCACTTAATTTTTAACCTTGTTAATGAGTCTGAGTTTCTCTTTGCTGAGCTCAGCATCAGCATTGACTTTTTTGTTTTATGGCTTGCTCTGGAATAAAGATCATAAAATAATCTAGATGAAAAAAGTCCAGCGTCTTCCCATGCATTTCGGCCACTTGGGAACAGCAGATCAGTGCAAATGCAATGCCACGATCAGGTCAATACTAATGGTTAAATTACCTTCAACACAAGGGGGGGAAAAAAAGAAAAAGGGTTGTGTATGTTTATACAGCCTAGAACTTAGTTTGCCTCAGCAGGCGGCTTGTCTCCCAGCTGTAGATGAGAAATTTGGCCAGTGCAGTACAACCGCTAGCCTGGGCCTTTAACGTGCACCATGCGGTAGCGATGCACGTCCGCATGCTGGTACGATGCTCATCGAGATCGAAACGGGTAGGGATAGGGATTGAACCCAGGATCTGTGGGTTCTGCAGCTCTAGCTTTCGCTTCACGTTCTCTGAGCTGGTGTGCACTAGCCCACTTGGCCACCGATCGCAAAACACAGCTGTAGCTGTTTTGAGACTTCGTTGTGTTTGCCCCTTTTTGTTTCCCCTTGTCTCGGGGTAACTTTAACCATGATCACCCACCAGCTCGCCTGGTTTTTAATGCTAATTTCCATATTTGTGTTTTTAGCTAATTACAAAAGCTTATAAACAGCAACGGATTCAGAATTGCTCCTAATTTGCATACTTTATAGCAGCTCAAACGACCTCTTGGTAGTTTGGCCTGCGTGACCAAGCGGGTTTTCGGGTTGAGATCAGGCTTAAACGAGTTGGACATTGAATGTTTAAGCCTTTCTGTTCCTTTGAATATCTTGCCATTACATGTTTTTCAGAGTGCCTCATCAAAAACCTTTACGGACAAGCGGTCCACCCAGAGGTGGTAGCAGCCCAGGCCACCACCACCAGGGTGAACAGGGTACTGGGCGAAAAGATCAACGATCTGAGACGCCGGGACAGGCGTTTGCCAAAGGACTGAATAAAAAACAGGACCAGCCGGTTCGTGGCAATGGCTCAATCAAATATGGCAGTCAAGCATCCATTTCCCGCAGGCCCCACACAGATCGCCCACAGAGCGTAGGATTATGAAACCGTGTGGGTCACCTACATGGTCTCCACAGTCCTGTGGGTCTGAGGGCCCCACAGGCTATGCGGAGACCTGTAGGGACCCACACAAACCATGTGGGGACCCATAGGAACCCACACCCACATAAACTATGTGGGGACCCATAGGGACCCACAGACCTGCAGGCACTATGCGGGGACCTATACACCCACACAATTTTTGTGGGACCCACAGGTTTCATAATCCTACAGGTCTGCGGGTTTTTGGAGCGGGGCTGTATGGTAAAACAGAGTCCGGGGTCAAGGACGCCAAGGCGTTTATTAAGGAGTGGGAGACCATCATGGCGGGACCAGTCCCGCCACCCATTCCGGACCAGGTGACCACCACTGGGGCTACGGTGGAGCCGTATTTCCTAACCAGTGCGCAGGATATCAAGCAGTCATTCCCCCCGCATGGCTCGACACCGGGCCCGGATCGGCTTACATCTCGAGATCTGCGTAAGACTCCATGTAGATTCTGCGAGTTGTGTTGAACCTCATCGTGTTAGAGGGCAGGGTTCCGGTGTGCTTGCGGGGGGCGAAGACTGTGTTTATCCCCAAAAAGGAGGGGGCACTGGATGCCAGGGACTTCAGGCCCATTACAGTGGCGCCGGTTTTACTGCCTCTGTTTAACAAAATCTTGTCGGCACGGCTCCTAGCCAGCGTGGATCTGAACCACCGGCAGAGATCTTTTATCCCAGTAGATGGGTGTGCCGAGAATATTGCCATTTTGGCAACGGCTCTAGACGAAGCAATGTGGACCTTACCAAGGCGTTTGATCGCGTTTCGACGGAGGCAATCCTCAGGGGAGCTGTGCCTCTCGTGTGGGGCTGCCCTACCATTTCTGGGGTACCTGCAATCTTTGTATGGTACCTCGGAGACGGTGCTTGGGTACAGTGCAGAAACCCTACTAGTCAAGCCCACCACTGGGGTGAGGCAGGGGAACCCACTTTTCCCATTCTTTTTAACTTGGTTCTCGATGAGTGGCTGAGCTCACTGGACACAGACATTGGGTTTGTTAGTGGCGCGTTCCGGGTCGATGCGATGGCGTTTGCCGACGATCTCGTCGTCATGGCGTCAACGCCTCAGGGCCTGCAGGACAGACTGGATAGCCTTGCGGCCTTATTCTGAGCCGTGAGGACTGGAAATCAACGCGTCCAAGTCCCTTGCCCTACAGCCATCGGGGTAGGAGAAAAAGGTGAAGGTCGATACCATCACGACCTTCCGGGCTAACCAGGCCCAACTACCCGATAGCGACACAGCGACGGTGTGGCGATACCTCGGCATTTCGTTTTCGGCAGCAGGCAGGGCGCCAATGCCCTCGGAGCGGGAGCTGGCGCTGCTGCTGGGTAGGGTGTCCAAGGCAGCTCTGAAACCCCAGCACCGGCTGGTGATACTCAGAACATACCTGGCTCCCCGTCTCTACCATCGACTTGTCCTTGGGCCACGGACAGCCAGATTACTCACAAAGCTGGGTCGGCAGGTTCGTGCCTCTGTGCGGCGATGCCTGGAGTTGCCCCACGACTCGCCGCTAGGCTACTTCCATACGGACGTCCGGCCGGTGGGTTATGGGTTCCCTGCCTACGAACAGCCGTGCCAGGGCTGCAGATGGCCAGGTTCGAGCGCTTGGCACAAAGTGGCCACCCGACCTGCGCCGAGACCCTGCGCTGCCGCCTCATAAGGGAGGCACTGCGGCACGCAGGTCGTCTCAGCGTATACGAAGGCGCTACACTGCAGTCCAGTGAGGAAAGTGCGAGGTTCTGGGTGGGGAAACTCCACCACAGCTTCGATGGGGCAGCACTCAAGGAGTGCAACAAGGTCCCGGCCGCCCAACGCTGGGCGGCCGAGGGAACACACCAACTGCCACGCCGGGAGTTCATAGACATTATGAAGCTACGGGTCAACGCCATGCCAAACCGCACACGCACGAAGAGAGGCCAGGAAGGGAGCCAGATGTACCGGGCTGGGTGCAATGCACCGGAGAGCCTTGGCCATATCCTGCAGCGGTGTCACCGCTCGGACTTCAAGAGGATCAAACGGCACAATAACATCGTGCAGTTCCTGGCGTGCCCTCTGCGAAAGTTGACGTGGGATGTCCGGGTTGAGCCTACCATTCGTACGTCGCAGGGTAGGAGGTTCCCCGACGTTGTGCTGTCGAGCAAGGAGCAGGTGGTCGTTCTGGACGTCCAGGTGGTCGGCCTCCGCATCGGCCTGTGCGAGGCTCACCACCAGAAAATAGCCAAGTACTCTCTGCCGGAGGTCATTGACCAGGTCCGAGGGAGCCGTGAAGCAGTTCCCCTGGTTTCCAGTGTGACCCTGTCCTATGGGGGTGTGTGGGCAGCCGAGAGTGCTGCGGTCCTGGCGGACCTTGGGTTGTCCCTCCAGGACCTAAAAATTATAACCATAAAGACCTTACAGGGTGGTCTGGTGTGCTTCCGAACTCATCAGCGGATGACCGCTGTGGTGTTCCCATGGGCGATGGCGGTTCGGCGCAGTGACGGTGCCCCTCTTTACTAACCCCATTTTAAAGGGCGTTGAGGTTCCTCTCCCCAACCATCTCGAGAGGGATTTTACTTTTTTGTCATCTGTTTTGTCGGGTGCGGGGGGGTTCCCCCGCGTACCTGGAGAGGGCGTACTCGGTCCCCCTAACCCCTTTTTTTTCATCGTGGGTCGGGTTGGGTTCCGGTTGAGTCCCTAGTCGGGTGGTTAATTCTCCCGAACTGGGGGCTGGAGCGGCCGGTTCGCTCCCCAATGGGTTCAAGCCACAGTGCCCTTCTCTCGCCCGACGTTGAGGGAGTAAAAGTTAAAAAAATAGCCAAATGCCTCGTTATCTAATTAGTGACGCGCATGAATGGATTAACGAGATTTCCACTGTCCTTATCTACTGACTTCTTCCCTAGGCGCTGAGGGGACAGGACCAGCATCGGATGAGCTCCCCAACCCAAGTATAATTTTTATATTTCCAGGCTAGCTGGAAGTATATTCTTTTAGGTATTAGTGTCTAAAGGTCTAGCGATTGGTTTCCAGGTATTTTTGTTTTTCTAAAGTTAGTTTTCTTTGTTTTCTGAGCATTTTTGTGTGAGCTAGGCCTAGCGGGAAGAAATCAAGATGGTTGCCACTTGATTTTGCGTCCAAACTCAGAGTTTGAGCGCTCGTCCATAGATATAAATTTAACGCCCGTGTTCCTCGCATTTGCGCGAACACGAGCGTGTGTTTGATTTTTTGTTTTTTCTAGAGGCAAAACTTTCATTTTTACAGCCATTTTATTTTTTGAGGTGGTGGGGTGCTAGGCTTTTCCGCGAGCGCAGTTTTTCCCGCCTTTTTTCTTCCGACCGAAAACGGCATGTAGTATTCTTTTTTTTTTTTTATTAAGACTAATCGCGGGGCAGAGCTAAGGTCGGTACTCTTAGCAGTAGCGCGGTCGCGAGAGTATGTTTGTTTTGCCTTTTTTTTTCTCATTTTATGGCCATTTTTTATCATTTTTAGGGGTGTCCCTTCGTGAGATTGTCCGCGCCATTTTTCACGCAAAAGAATGTTTTCTTTCGTCGTGAGTAGCGGCTGGGGATTTCGGAATCGTGTGTCTGCTGGGTTTTTATCTTTGTTTATATTTTTTTTCTTTTTGGCGCTTTTTGGGCAAGCCTGTCTGTCATCTGAGACGCTCAGATGCCAGGCAGCTCTAGTGGCGATGCCTTCCCCCCGGGGTAGGATGTAACTGTGAAGGGCGACGGGGATTCGCCTCTGTGCCAATAAAAGACCGCAACGCAGGCGAAAAAAATGAAATTCAAACTAAACCCGAACGCCGCAACTCTAGTAGATATGAACCGTGACGTAAGTGAGGCAACCCCCGCGGTGGGCATTAAAGTCACGAAGACTCACGTGGCCAACCTGCCCGGTGCCTACGAAAGTCTGTTGGGGTTTGCCCTAGCCTTAATTAATGAAAACACGCAACTGGCGGCGACAATGGCCGCCTACAAAGAAGAGAAGGAGAGGGCCCCCTCGTCAGAGAGTTTTGCCGCCCTGCAGCGCACCTTCTCGCAGGTTCTCCAGCAGAACCCGGCGACTTCGAGCCCAAGCCCCGCCGGCCAGCAGCAGGGGGGGGAGGTGGCACCACCCGTGGCCCCCAAGCCAACAACACCACACGGAGCCTCTTGTGAGAGCCTTTTGATCTACCCGACAACCAAGCCAACAGCTGGGGTGGAGCTCTACGCAGGGATCTCCCACCTGCTCCGTACCACCTTCAAGCCCGCGGAGCTCGGACTCGGCAGCGTCGAAATTAAGCAAGTGAGAGGTGGGGCTATTGTCCTCGGTCATAGCGCAGCCGGACTAGGTCGCCTTGCGGAGGCCATTAAGGCCAACGCATAAACCGCGTCGAAACTCACAACTAGGTGATCAGAAAAGGGCCCCAGAGGTCAACATTGTGGGGGTTGACCCTGGGGTGGAAGCTGCGGACCTAGTCGAGACCCTAACTTCAATGAACGACCTCCCAACCGAAGACAAGAACAAGGTCGTGGCCTCATTTCGGGCAGCGTCGGGCACCATGGTCCATATTCTGGAGGTTGGGCCCCAGACGAGGGACATCCTCCTCCAAAAGAGGAGGGTGTATCTCGGATGGACGTCCTGCCCCCTCTATGAAAACCTTGGCATCCGGCGATGCACGAAATGTTGCACCTATGGCCGAACAGCTAAAGTGTGCAAGGACCAGTCCTCGGACTGCACTGAGTGTTCCGGTGACCACCCCGGGGCCAACTGGAGGGCAAT